TGAACTTTGGATGAGTTCAATTTACTTCATTAACTTTATGCTTTTTCTGTTCAGAATGCTCCAATACATTCCTTATGAAGTATCCTCTAAGATTTAGAACATTCTCAATAAAACAAACTGGATAATAGAAGGGTGAAAATACATTTTAAAATGCTACATTTCTATGAAAAAGCTATTTCATTAGAAATAAAGAAAACCATTTTTCTCAACATGTAGTTTGTTAAAATAATGAAATCATAGAATAGTTTGGGTTGGAAGGAACCTTTAATGGTCATCTACTCCAAGCCTCCTACAATGAACAGTGACTTTCTTCAACGAGATCTGGTTGCTCAGAGCCTTTCTGAACCTGATGTTGAATGTTTCCAAAGATGGGGCATCTAACATCTCTCTGGCTGACCTGTTCCAGTGTTTTACCACCCTCACTGTTAAAAACTTCTAATCTGCATTAGCCCTCTTTGAATTTGACATCATTACCCTGCTAAAAAGAAGTTTGTTTCCCATCTTTCAGTTTCTGTCAGTGACTGAAATATTATAGTTTATGACCTAAACATTTTAATGAAAGACTTTTGCCCATTATAGCAGAACTGTGTTAGAAATGCTGCAGAGATGAGCACCACATCCTGAATGGGGCTCTGAGAGGCCCTACACAGTTCACTAAGGATGATAAGATAAAGTGATAACTCAGGATGGGGACATTCTCAGACTTGTATCAACAGGGATGAACCTATTAAATATGTTCAAACTGCTTTGTAAACACAGATCCAGCTGATATGAACCCATCTAGTATTTATTAAGCCTTCCAAGAAAATCTTAAAATAGGCAATTTTCTATTAGACTGGTAAACACATGCAAAACTCCATATACCAAGAATATAATATAGGGGACAATAAGGGGAACAAACTTTCTTAATCACTGCTAATTAAAATTATGTTCAAATTACAAGCCTAAGGAAGTTACCAGAACAGAATTCTAAAATATTGTCTTTCTGGTAAATGGAATATAGAAGGCACATGTCTTAAATGAAAGAAGTTTCCAATATAAAGAAAAAGCAAATTTTCTGTTATGCATTTCACTATATGCTCCGCTTCCTCTGTAGGCTATGGCCTAGAAACATGCAGTTTGTCATTATTTATAGAAACAAGGAAAAATGCATTTTCTTTTTATTAGACAGACATCAATAATCTCAGATACTTTTTTTCACAGACTAAAATACTGCTATTTTCCTCAGTTTCTGCTGTGACTTCTGAAGATTAGACTGGAAGATATTAACTACTTTTTCTGCTTTATTTTAAGGCAAGAAGTATTTGCTACTTTTGTCAGCTTGGCTACAACAGAAATACTTGGCCATCAGCATCATGAAGTGCCAAGAAATAAAAGATTAAACTGCATTTTCAAGCACAATTGGAGAAGGGCTTGATATATTGCAGCAATCTGACAAGTCAGTGTCAAGGAACAGCTCCAAAATGGAAATTTGTCCTAAGAGGCAAAATATTAAGTTCAGTCACTGCTGCCCCTATGTCCATCATTGCGTTGGTTAAGAAAGGTGTAGAGCAGATATAACAGCAAGTATGGATATTGCACAGGGCAGTTTTTGATGACAAAAAAGTGGAAGAAAAGAAGAAAATAAGGGAAGAAAGATAAAGAATTTGCTAGATTTTGTCCTCCTAAGAACAAAGGCCTGTCGAACTCAAATATCCTGAGGAAAACTGGGTGACTGCTCCAGTTAAAAAACAGGCAGACCAGGTTAGTTAATTAAGGTGTCTGTTCAGATACCTCACTCTGCCACAGAGACATTTATTTAGAAGATGAATGTTAGTGACCTGTCCTGTAATGTGTTTAGTTTGAGACTTCAGGTTTTTTCCTGGGTAAACTTTGTCCTTTTAATTCAGGTCATTACTGTGCAATATAAAGTGTTTGAATTTGGCTTAGGAGCATGTATTTTACAGATGGTGAAATTTCTGCCAATGTTATCTTTTAGGTAGTAATTCCCTTTTAGCATCTGCTGGCAACAGTGCTTCCAGTGACAAGAAAGGCTTTTGCCACAGCTATTGCATTTGCACAGTAAGTACTTGTGGGAAATAGAAATCTGTTCTGTTACAGTAATCCTCACCAATGAAATAAAGAAATATTCTCTCTCTTTTTTTCTTTTTTTTTTTTTTTTTTTTTTTTTTTTACTTACAGCTATTGAATGTTGCTTTGTTCTTAGTTCTGCATTTCCACAATCTCGCAGTGCTACCAAAGACTGCTTTCAAATGCAGTGCGCTGATGATTGAGTAGCAAGTGGTGCAGTCTCTGCTGTGTTTCACAGATACCACTGATTACAGACCTGTTTGGCCTTCTGCATGCAGACATATCTTACACTATGAAATCCTAGTTGCATTTTATCAGCTCATACCTCACTACCAAGGAAATGCTTCTTTACCTTTTGTATTACTCATTGTGTTAGGGTGTGCTATTTCACCCTGTCTGACTGTCCCAGAAGTTTAGCAGATAACTCTGATCCCTGACTGGGTAAATGCTGAATTTTGCAATATTTTCACGTTATCGGAAAACACAATTCCTATTAAAACTCAGGCTATGAAACCAAGTCATTTAGGGAACATATTTGTTTCTATTGAACACAACTGCCAGGAAATAATACATAACACTAACTGGTTTGCATTTATGGCAATTACATTATGTCTTCAACTTAAATGGTTATTGATAGGACATTCAACACCTGCAGTCAAGTGTAGCTGAAACAAGATACTTGGGAATCAGACGTGCTTGTATTTTGTTTTTACCTTTTCAGTCAGGAATCTGTAAGCATCTGAATTTACCATTTATATGGTTGGGTCCAGTATTAGTGAAGGCAGCTAGTTACAGGTACATTTAATTTATCCTCATTACAACAAATGGCTTTTGATGTTCAGGAAATGTGTGCATCCATCCATCATATTTTGACGTGTAAATGATCACTTGAAAATTAATATTTCTTCCTTCTGGTTTGCTGTCACATAAATACTTTAATATTTATTATTCTGATGAAGTGCACATCATTCTATAGTATTTCCAGTGAACGTGTTCCATTGCATATAGAACTCAAATTGATCAAAAATCTTAATATTTGATTCACATTTATCTGAGCTGAAAAGTGAAAATAAAGACAGATGACTGTAATTTTTCTGTGCTCTATCCTAGCTTATGATGGACCTCCAATCTGAAATTCTAGTTAATATATTTTGTTCATATGATTAGGAGTCATGCTTGAAATGCAGTTCTATCCCAGTATTCCATCTATCTCAGAACTCTAAAATACCTGCAAATAGCTTTACATTAAGGGCTGCTGTCTCACAGCATGGACCAGCAGTCACTCTGCAGCTGTTCACTCGATGACAATAGGACAAGTTCCAGGATGAAGATGCAGCACATGGGCTCACTGAGTTACTCCAGCACAGCTCCTTGAATCCAGCCAGCTGAGTGTGCATGGGGTGCAAACACAAGCCTTTGTTCTCTAAGGTGTAGACATGGAGTGCGAGTGCAACCTATTTGATTTGAATTATGCTGTTTTTCAGTTATTTTTGAGACTGCATGATTTTACAAGTCCCTACATACATCCTGGTAGTGTGAATATGGGCTTTAGCTACCCCTGCTGCTGTTCTGAAATTGCTGAAATCTGCCATCTGTATAAATTGCTCAGTGCAAGAGTGTTCTCTCTTTAATACAGTATGTAAAGCATATCAGTTTAATTCCTGCTAATAGAGCATTTTCTTAGATTTTTTTGATATTCATGTACCTTAGGACAGTGAAGACATTTACCCCTTTAGGAATGACAGTATTGCTGTATCTTGGTGTTCTCTGCTATTGCACACAGGCAAGCCAATACCTACAGTGCATCAAACTTAACTTGTGTGTAGCAGGGAGAATGTTTTCCTCCAAATACAGCTCCTATGCTCATATGCCTGCTCTGGATCACGGCTTTGGATTCTTGGTTCCTGTTGCATTCATTCAATGTTCAAGCACATACTTCTCCTTCTCTATACATTTTCATGAATTTGCCAAAGGACTCTCTTTGTCCATTACTACCCAAATTCCATGGGACCAGCCCAGCAGTGAGCTACATTAACAAATTCATTACTGCACAATCCTAAATCATTTTACATGGAACTCCTGCTGTCTGCACTACCTATCCCTTTTATGCAGCCTTTTCAGACCAAATCCTTCTAAGTTAAAAAGGAGTGAAAATTTTATGCTCATATCCTGAAATAAAACCTCCTTTAAATGTTTTTGCCCTCAAAATTTACTGTCTTGCTTTATTCAGCACATGCCTAGAATGTGAAACTGATTAAATATTTGAAGCTTTCTTAGCTAAGTAGTCTGCTGGCATTGAAAGAATATTTTGAAAAAAATTTCTGAAATATTTTACATAGCTACAGCTGAAATCTTAATTAGACTGAGCAATAGAGAAGGGAGCCAATATACGTAAACAGAACGGCGACCCTTGCCTGCACGTTTTCCCAGGTCTGTGAAACCTTAATGCAAAAATTTCAAGAAAAAACAGCGGGACACGTGGTCACTAACAAACGCCAAACTAGGAAAGACACAACCTAGAAAAATATCTGGAAGACCCGCAAGGACTGCGATGAAGAGTAACACACGGAAATTGCGTCTGAGAATACAACACTCTTCTGCTTCCAGATTTAACAAAGCGCAGCTTTGACGCCCTCAACAGCCGTATACCAGCAGAGCAGCCAGCATGGCACGCAATAAACCCATCTGTATGCCAGCAGAGCAGCACGTCACTGCACCAGCATCTCTCGGTACCAGGGACTGCCCCGGCAGCGCTTCCGCCGCCTCACAGCCCGGCCACCGCCTCCCGCCCCGCCCCGCCCCGTCCTTTCCGGGCCGCTGCGCCCGCCCTGCGCGGCGCGGCCTGACGGTACCGGGCCATGGCGGGTTGGGCTCAGCTGAGCTTGGCCGGGCTGAGCTTGGCTGGGCAGAATTGAGCTGCTGCCAGCGCCATGGCCCTCGCCGGCAGGGCAGCGCTGCGCTGGGGGGCACGGCTGCCGAGCCCCGGCCCCGCCGCCGCCCCGCTCTGCTGTCCGGCCTGGCTGCCCGCGGCGTGCGGGCGGCCCTACAGCTCCCGCGGCAAGGTGAGTCCGCGGGCGGCCCTACAGCTCCCGCGGCAAGGTGAGTCCGCGGCAGCCCGGGCTCCTGCCCCTGGCCGGCTGCTACCGGACCCCTGGGCTCGCCGCATTGCCAGGCAGCCCACGCTGCGTCCAGGAGTGAGAAGGAAGCGTTACTGCTTGGTAGAATTGCCTTGCTGAGGTGTAGGGCTTGACATCTTTCAGTGATCTCGGTTCTAGGGATGGCTTAACAGAGCTTGGAGAGAACGATGTACTGTTAGTAATGGGCACAAAGAAGGCAGAATTCATGGGCCAGAAGGACAGCTCCCAGGATAAGGAAAGAACGAACAAAGTCAACTCAGCAAGTGCGCTGAAATCGGCTCTGGCTAGGTAAAAGGGTACCACGAGCACAGAGCCAAGAAACCCACCTACTCAAGAGAAAGAAACCATGCTGGTTAACTAGATAAGAAGTGAGGGAACCATTTAACCAATAGAATACGAATTAAAAGAACTATGTAACTTTTAGGCAGTCGATAATAATGCCTTTGTTTGCTAAAATGTATAAAGTTTTAATAGTTCTTTGCTGGCTTTGTGGATTTTCCACCAAGTGCCCCTTTCTGCACAGAACTGTAAATAAATAAAATACTTTGACTTTTGTGTGTGGATTGGCTTCTTCCACACTAGCATTCTTTTTCACTGTCTGCTTGCTCCTTATGATAAGGTCACTACTCGCTGAGTCTCTAGGTAACGGCTCTGAATTCCTATCATGCTTGTGAAGAATGATGTCCTTAATGGCCCCCTGAATCCAGTTTTCTTAATCCTTAAGTTTAGTAGTTTCACCAACGTGAAAGTGTAAACCCAAGTTTTCCAGCTCCCCATGTGCATAAGAACATAGTACCTTTTACACACTTTCCAGCATAGTTCATAATTGTTTAGTGATAAAAGAATACATGTGTCTGTATGACTAAAGTGAAATGCTGAGATTTTAAACAATGGTGACAATTCAAGCTTTTGTATCTCTGTTCAACCTGTATTACTTCTAGAGAAAAAATATTAAAATAATTAATTTGCTTTTTTAAAGGCCAGGTCATATGCTATACAGAGACTGTAACCTTGATTTATGAAAAGAAATTCCTGTTTTTCAGGAAGAAATAGATATGTCAACGTATCCTGTTGAAACCATTAGAAACTTCAGTATTATAGCTCATGTAGATCATGGCAAAAGTACACTAGCAGACAGATTGCTGGAAATTACAGGTAAGCATTCTCATTTTATGCTACCTTTTCTTGACATGGAAGGTGGCATCTTAAGTTTCTGTGCTGTTGATTATCACTAAAATTTCTAATATTTTTGCTCTCCTAGTGTTGCTTGGGCTTTTAAGCTCTTAATGGTGTAGCGTTACAGATATATGGACTTTGTGCTTGAGATATGTCTACATGTAGGCATGATGCGTGTAATTCATTTAAAGTATATATTTTGGAAAGAGACTGAAAAGGAGTTTGAAGGTGTTCCTTGTTTCAACATCTTCCTTGTTCAAGATGTCACTCCTGTCACTCTAACCAGTCATCCATTAGAACAGTACATGTTAAGTTTATGATGTTTATTGCCTGTGGTTGACGTGGACAGAAGGGGTGGGTCTGTCATGACCTGGGAGTTCTGAACTCTCATTTAAGGGTGAATGAAACAAAACCAGGGAGAGAAACTTCTGATCAAAGTTATTTTTTATGATTACCTCCCATGTGTCATCACCATGAGCATTTTTGCCTGATGCCTGTGATAGAATGGGATTTTGAATTCAGGTCTGTCACTCTATGCTAATGCTCGTCTGGCACTTGAGATTGATTTTAGAGCTGTGGGGCACTCTTGCTCAGTGATAGGAAGGGAAGTTTCCTTAAGTATCAAAATTATTTACAATTCAAGGGAATTCTTCCTTCTTCTTAATCCCTTAGATGATGTTTTTTATCCTGCTTATTCAGGTTAATATTTTATATAACTTTATTGTGTAAACTTTATTTGACAAATGTAAAGAGTTGATGCACTGTTTTGTTTTATTGGAAATCTTTGTTTAGCTTAATTATATGGGAAAGCTTCATTTGTTCTTGGTTAACTTTTGGTTAATGGCATTTTCAAGATTTATGTCGTAAATTAGGTAATAAAGCTTTTTTTTTCCTTATTTTTAGGAACAATTTCTAAAACTGATCGTAATAAACAAGTGCTGGATAAACTTCAAGTGGAACGTGAAAGAGGAATTACAGTTAAAGCCCAATCTGCATCTCTCTTTTACAATCATGAAGGAATAAACTACCTCTTAAATCTTATTGACACACCAGTAAGTTAAATATAAACAGTGTTGAAATCACACAAATCTAAATGTCCTTACAGTTAAAAGTAGGAGATTTCTGGCTTCCTGTGTTTATTCAATTCCTCTTTTATAAGAATGTGAACTTCATTATACAAATATGCAAATGAAAGCAATGTAGTACAGAAATCTTTGCAAAAATACCTGAAATTGTAAACATTTGTTTTCTCCACAGGGCCACGTAGATTTCAGCTATGAAGTATCACGGTCACTATCTGCCTGTCAGGGTGTCATACTTGTAGTGGATGCAAATGAGGTGTAGTACCTAATTCTTGTTTTTTATTTAGTATTTCAGGATTTCCTTTAGGAAAGTAGTTGTAGGATTTTTTTTTTTGTTTTTCTGGCAGTGTTTCTGCCCCTGGGCTATCTCCATGAAGTATTACATTGCAGAAAAATAGTAGTGGGATTTTAAAGCAGTTGCATATAATCAATCACCTTTTATTTATCCATCTCCTAAATGAAAGAGTTGATAGAATAGCAAAGTAATCTTAAATTGTATAGTATGCCTAAAAATACTCCCCAAAACCACACCAAAACTGAGGTGATTTCTGTGTTGAACTTTACAATGTTATTTTCTAGGGTATTCAGGCTCAGACAGTGGCAAACTTCTATCTTGCCTTTGAAGCACAGCTTTCAATAATTCCTGTCATAAATAAGGTAATAAAGATTTTAGCATTTTCTATTAAATACTCGGGTTGTTTAAATGTGTATAGTGCTGATCAGAAATGTAACCTCAAAGAGAAGTAAAGAAAGTTATTCATTATAATATTTATAGGATTTAGATTTAACATTACTAGGAATTTTCTGTATTTGCTGTCTGTGTAAAATTTTACAATTTAACTGCTGTGAAATTTTTAATTTCATGAAATACATTTAGGTATTTAAAAGTGTAGCACTTAAGGACATGATTAGTAGTGGATGTTGCAGTGCTGGGCTTATGGTTGGAATTGGTGATGTTAAAAGTTCATTGATATTGAGGAAATGACATGACTAGGAGCTCAGTATTTAAAAAGTGAAGTCTTAATTTTAAGAGAAATTCTTAGTGTTACTTTCTATACAATTTTGAGAGCTGTGCTATTGGAATCACAAGAATAATTACTGCTCAGCTTATGTTAATTGCTTTTTGTAGATTTATTTTGTACTTAATATGTAATCCTATAAACAGTGTAGGTAGCTCTTAATGATTTCAAATTACTTTGTAAACTAAAGATTTTTACCAACTATTGGGCAAAGGTGTTTTCCCTAATGAAACAAACCAAAATGAGACTAGTTATGGACAGGATCCTTCCCAAAATCAAGGAAGGAAGACTTCATAAAATGAATATTGATCTTTTCCTAAAGATGGACAATGTTTACTCATAAATACATGAAGGTTCTTTGCTGTACTTTGCTGTTCTTTTTGTACTTTCTACTGTACTTTTTGTACAGTACTGGATGATGTGGGAGATCTGGTTTCTTGTATATTTAGCAGTTTGTTGTTTCACAGATTGACTTGAAAAATGCAGACCCTGAAAGAGTTGAAAAACAAATTGAGAAGCTCTTTGATATCCCTACAGATGAATGCATAAGGGTAAGATCTCTGAGTTTTATAACATGCCTGATAATGTAACTTTGTAACTAACATGTGACATGTGCATGTTGTAAATTAGGAGAGTGCTATCTGTCTGCCTGTTCTTGTCTGACATAAGAATTTCTTTAAATTTTGTCTCCTGTAAGAGTGGAGAAAATAACTCTCAGCTAAAAATTCTAGTATTTTTTCACGATTAGAATCCAGGATTTTAAATTATTTCTCACTGTCAATCCATAAATGATTTTCATTTCTATCATAAAAATAATTGCCATTCACAAAAGACAAAAGACAGTATTTCTTGGTAATAGCATTCTAGAGTGTCCTTTTGAGTGCTTTTATGGGTGCCACCCAAACTAAGTTCACATGACACTATTTAATTAATAAGTGTAAGATGTGTCTTATGAAGTTGTTGTTGGTTTTGTTTTAGATTTCTGCTAAACAAGGAACAAATGTTGAAAAAGTTCTTCAAAAGGTCATTGAGAAGATCCCACCGTAAGTCTGTATTTAATTATGTGTCTAATTAACCTTTAAAAGTAATTAGAAAATCATGAGTTGCATTTACATGGTATTGGCAGTAGTTTTACACTTAATATACATCTAATTAAATAAAATATTTTATAGATAGATGTAGGAGAAACAGAAGGAAAATAGTGACTTGTTCTTAAACAGGAGAGATGAATTAGTCACCAGCGAGGCTGAAAAGCAGAGGGACATTTTTTTCACCTCTGTCTTTACCAGCACCATTGGGCTTTAGGCCTGGGGAGCAGAAATGCAGGTTGATGCACAGATGCACTGTCAGCAAAGAAGGAGTTGGTATGTGAACTGTTACAGGAGCCTGACCCCTGTGCATCCATTTGCCCTGATAGTGTCCACATGAGGATTGTAGGAGAGCTGGCTGTGTCCGTGCAAAGCTGCTCTTTGTAATCTTTGAGAAGTCCTGGAGATCAGGGGACATCCCAGAAGACTGGAAGAATGCTAATGTTGAATTTACTAGAAGAACTTAAAGAAGGATCCAGGAATTTGTAGGCCCATCAGTCTTACTGCAGTCCCTGGAAATGGTATGGAACAAATCCTCCTGGGGGCTGTGACAAGTCAGATGAAGTGATTGGGAAAAGCGAGCAGGGGTTCACCAAGGGTGTATTGGGCTTGACAAACCTGATCACCTTCTGCAGCAGGGTAACCTGCTGTGTAGTGTGAGCAGTGGATAGTGGCTACCTGGATTTCTCTCTACCTGCATTTTAAAGGATTTGGATAAGGTTTCTCACAGACTCCTGGAGAAACCACTGTGTTACAGTCTGGAGTGGTCTGTGTCATAGGAGCTGTCTGATGGGCTGCACCCAGAGGGTGGTGGTAAATAGCTCCTTTTCAGACTGGCCACAGGTAGGGTCTGCCACGGTTCCACATTGGGTTCAATACTGTTTCTTATCATCATAAGTGATCTGGAAGTTGGAATGTGTACCCTGGTGAAGTTTGCCAGTCATACCAAACTGAGAGGGGAAGTAGACACTTCAGAAAGGACGAACAGCTTTGCAGGAAGACCTAGATAGGCTGGAAGAGTGGGCTAAAAAGAGCCCTATGAAATTCAACAGAGGCAAAGGTCTTGCACCTGGGAATGCATAGTTCAGGAGCATAGCACAGGCTGGAATCTTACCTAGCTGGAGAGCAGCTCTGTGGAAATGGACCTGGAGGTCTTTGGGGACAATAAAGTCAATGTGAGGGAACAATGTACTGCTGCAGCAAAGAAAGACAACAGCATGCTGCGTTGCCTTGGGACATCAAGGACAGGGACATCAACAGCAGAGATGAAGAAGTCATTATCCCACTCTGCTCAGTGGTGGTCGGTCCACACCTGGAATACTGTGTTCAGTTTTGGCCCCTTCTGTGTAGAAAATGTGGACCAGCTGAAGAGAGGCCACAGAGATGACTGAAAGACTGGGCAGTCTGCCCTTTGAGGAAAGGTTGAGAAAAATGGACTTGTTCAGCCTTGAAAAAAGAAGGCTTAAGGGAGACCTTTTGCTATATTCTGGTATTTAAACAGTATCTACAAAGAGCCATTGGAATAATCTCTCCAGGAAAGTGGTGGATTCCACAGCATTGGACACTCTCTGGTTTGTTTGGGCAGGGTGCTAGGCCATCCTGTGTAAGCCTGTGTTTTTGCCAAGAAAAGTTGAATCAGGTGATACTGGAAATCCCTTCCATCCTAGTGTGATTCTTTGAAAGTGCTTGGGGTGGGCATGCTTGCTTATTCAATATTGAATGAAAACACTCTGCATAATATATTGTTCTAATTTTTTTTGGTGACAGACCCCAATGTAATACTGCTGATCCATTGAAAGCCTTAGTATTTGACTCTACCTTTGACCACTACCGAGGTGTCGTAGCTAACATTGCGCTCTTTGGTGGGGAGATTGCAAAGGGACACAAAATTGTGTCTGCACACACTAAGAAAAGATATGAAGTAAATGAAGTTGGAATTCTGACTCCAAATGAACAGCCAACACATAAGCTGTAAGTAAAAACTTCTTACAGTGGAAAAATAATATATTGGGCTAAGCTACAATGTCCTGCATTTCTGTTTGATTTTTGCTTTGAGAGGTAAAAACTGGGAGATGTCCAGGTTTTTGTTCTTGTTCTTTGGTGGTGGGTTTTTTTACTAATTACTATTTGCAATTTAATGCTCTGTGTCATTTTTTATTTTGGGCATGCTGAAGCAGAAGGTTTTACAAAGTGCTTTTGGGGCATTACTGTGGGAGGAATCCATTATCTCCTGTAGTACATGGAACATCTGGACAGCTAGGTGTTTAAAGGCTAGTGTTCGATATTCTTATTCAGCTGTCCAATTTATTTCTAGGAGCTGCCCTGTTTGAGAGTGGAAGGGAATGGGGCTTCATCTTAGTTATTGCTGCAGCATATTTTGAGGGTGGAAAACTTAAAATCCATGAATGCAACAGCTTCCAGAAACTGGCTTCTCAATGGCAGCAGTGGGAAGAAAATCAGGTACTTAGAATCAGTGGAGAAGTTTTACCAGCGTGCATCCAAATATACATAAATGACTTTACTGGGGTCATTTTCAGGTTACATTACTGTGTCTAGTGGGTTGAACCCAGCCAGCCCCCTGCTCAGTCCCCAACTCTAGCAGGATGAGAACTGAGGAAGTACCTGTGGATTGAGATAAAGACAGTTTAATAAATAAAGGAGGAAAAAAAAAGAAATAAAATCAAATTATGCAAAGATAGTCCATTATTCGCCACCTCCCACAAGCAGACTGATGTCCTGCTAGTCTACAAGTAAAAGCATTGGAAAGGCTACACTTCTTTTGTATTGCTAAGCATGATGTTCTGTGGTATGAAGTGCCCTTTTGGCCAGTTTGGGTCTGTTGTCCTGGCTGTGTCACCTCCCAGTCTCTTGCACACCCTCAGTCTGTTTGCTTGCAGGGGCACAGTGAGAAACCCAGAGGGCTTGCTCAGCAATACCTACATTGGTATGTTATCAACACTTGTTTAGTCACAATTCCAAAACACAGCTCCATACTAGGCTGCTTTGAAGAAAGTTACTCTATCCCAGCCAAAATCAGTAATACTGTGTTTTGCTCAATATTTACCACGTATTCCCCTCCTGTTAGCATAATGTGCTGATGGAAAGTGTTTGTCTAGTTTCATCCTAGTGATATATGAAACTTGCAGTGCTGGCAGCTGGGAACTGTTCTGGTTTCTTTGTCTTAGGAGCCTCTCAAGGGTCTAGCTCCGGCTTTTAAACAGAGAGCAACACAATATTCAAAACCAGGATCATAAATGTACTGTTCAGCTGTAACAGAAAAAGAGCTAGCTGAGACTGTTCACAACTCAGAGGTGAAACAACGAAAATCTCACTTCTGGACTTTGGGTATGGGCTTTTAATGGGGTGATTTATTTGAATTTCTGGCTGGGCTAAATTAAGTAGGAAAGTAGTAGAAATACTGCTAATGCCAACAATCATGTCCACATAATAACAATTTTATTTAGCTATGCAGGACAGGTGGGGTACCTGATTGCTGGAATGAAAGAAGTAACGGAAGCCCAAATAGGAGACACACTGTTTTTGTATAAACAGCCAGTGGAGCCTTTGCCTGGCTTTAAGTCAGCGAAGCCAATGGTTTTTGCAGGTGAGGAGTACATCAATATAAAGTTTTCCATTGACAAGAGTAAGAGCTGTTAGAGCTTTTAAAAGAAGACATGTATATTAAGAGTTGGGAGGATTAGAATTTTTTGGCCGAGATGCATCACTTACATAGATTTGTATGTTTTCCATGTGACTTAGCAGGATTAGCAATAAATGCTGACTGGTTTTCCATGAATACAGCACAAATATGATTATTGTTTCTAATGGCAGTAAACTCTTAATAGCTGGAAAAGAAGGATTGAAATTAAAAAAAAAGAGAATTATTCATCTTGATAATCAGATTTCTGTAATTATTCTGTTGGTTTTTCTTCTTTTAAAATTTAGCAACTGTTTCATTTTTGTCAAACATGGTAAACTGCCAGAGCTACTGTGCAGAATGATCTTGTAAAATATTTGACTTTTTGAGCTTGAATAATTCTGTTGAGCTGTTGCCAGCTTCAGTAACTACAAATGCTACAGAAGGTGTCTTTAGAAGAAATTCTGTAAATAATTTTCTAGACCTATTGTGAAGCAGTGTGTAGAACTCACTTGAACTGTCTCATGGAGACTAGGCATGTAGATGGTGGTTTTGTGTGCATGTGTGTTGCATCTTGATGTAGATGAAATTTTCTGAGCATACAAGGCTATGAAAAGTGATACAGTAGAATCTATTTCAGACAGCAGTTATACAAACAGCTGTTTTTATTAATTTCAAAAGAAGAGAGAAATATTTGCAACTTGGAAATGATGCTTTTTATTTTTCACTCACTCTTAGCTTTGAGGGAACATCTCAGTGAAGTCTATACACTTACACTGCAAAACAGTGGTTATACTCAACTATGAATCTTCCATAAATGTGAATGATTAGATAAATACAGTGATCCTACCATTATGGTTTAGATGTTAATTCAGTGGTAATCTAAAACATTTTTATGTTTTGACTAATTTTTTTTCCGAGGAATAAAGAATCCTTATGTTGTTTTTCACATTTAAAAACTGATAGAGCAGAAAGTAACTATTCCTGGTTTTATTACTCTGTTAACTATAAGTGGCATATTTGAAAGCCAGGTACACAGCTAAAGCTCTCTGTCACATCACTTCTATTTAATATATTTTGACAGGAATGTATCCAATAGACCAAACAGAATATAATAATCTCAAAAGTGCTTTGGAAAGGTTGACATTGAATGACTCCAGTGTAACTGTTCATCGTGACAGTAGCCTTGCCTTAGGAGCTGGATGGAGGTGAGGTTTTTCTGCTGCTTTCATTTTTTAAACTGTTCATAAGTTAAGAACGCATGTTTAAGTCAACTGAAGGTAGAATTAAACTTAATTCAAAATTAGAAGCTGTAATTCAAATAAATGATAAAGTTCATTAATTTAATTTGATTTTCTTACATTCTCTGTTTGCGCAGAGAATGAAAATTATTGTGATTGTTTTTGTTCTCCAAGATTTTTCAACTGTGCGATTATTTGGTCCCTTGAAGGTTGTTTGCTCTGCCTGATACTGCCATACTAGCACTGTAAACATGCTGGAGGGTGAAAAAGACCACTGTGAAATTCCAGGGGATACACAAATACTTTTACCAACAGGATATTTATCTTACAGGTTGGGTTTCCTTGGTCTTCTACATATGGAAGTCTTTAATCAGCGTTTGGAACAAGAGTATAACATGTCTGTTATTTTGACTGCACCTACAGTTCCATATAAAGCTGTTCTTTCCTCAGCAAAGTTGATAAAGGTATGTTAAATTCATTAAAAAATTACGTAAATATAATAAGCATCTAGAGTCTCTTCTTAAAAGTAAGCTAGTACTGTATTTTATAGTAAGCATTAGAAACACGAGTATATTACTTAAATAGTTTTTAATTTTTTAAGGATGCTAACTGCTCTTTCCCTTTTCATTTCAAGCACTCTCTTCTTATGTCTTATACTTTTTCTTGAAAATGGGAGTACAGGACACATGCCTTGCTGTATTCTTTTAAGTGCTTACTGACTGGACTGCATTAAAAGCAGATGAAATAATCTTCCAGAAAATCAGAAAATCAGAAAACATGAACGTTTCTAGGAATAGCTTGTGATGATACTGTAGATTGGCAGGGGCTGGTGAAAGAAAGTGAGATTTTTTGATGACAATTAAATGGGCCTGTGCTAACTTCATTAAACTGAGTGCAAATAGAATTACTGTGTTTGAGTTCTACAGAGAGAAAGAGGTAGACTTAGAGCACCTGCTGAGAGAGGAGGCTGCAAATTGACTGGCTGATTGTCCTGCAAATTACTAAAAACTTGTATAAGAAAGGTTTCTGTACTTACAACCTGTGAGGCATAAACCTTTTATCTCTCTGGTTGTTTTGGTTTGTTAGGCAGCGTAGCAGCTAGGAATGAAGTAGTTGATACCTTTAGTGTGTGATTCTGGACTGCTGATGTGGGATTCTTTTCAAACAATGCTGTAAGTTGGGTCTCTGTCAGTGGACAGGGAGGAGGGAATTTGCATTTTCACAATAAGCAGCATAACTTTCCTTTTACATCGGAAGGGTAACTCCAGCCCTTACTGGGATGTTGGACAGGAGAAAGTAGGTAATGAAAGCAAGAATCAAAAACTTCATTTTTAAATCCACTTCAGCATGTGAGGGAGCCTGAACCCAAAGTTTTAGTTAGGGAAGAAAGTTTCCACCACTGAACTCTAAAATATTTAGAGCAGATCTGTTGAAGCTGTGTAATAGAGGATCAGGATGAAGTAAGAAAGAAGATCCTCAATTTACAGTGGAGAGAAAGATGGATAGAAAAGTTTTTTGTATTTCTATCATTTCCCAAGTCCAAAGCTAATTTCTGGATAATGATATTTAAGGATGTGCTGATAACAGACTTCTATATGTTTTATAAAAATCTCTTCTAAAATCATCCTTGGTTTAAACTTGGGTTGCATCATGCTGCACCAATGTTTTCAGACAACTGAAACATATTTTAGCATTTTTTCAATGCTATATTTGTCTCCTTTGCTGTTCATTTTACTTACTAATAAATTACAATATCTGGTTTATTTGTTTTCAGGAGTACGGAAAAGACCAGATTACTATTATCAACCCTGCTCAGTTTCCTGATAAACTTTCAGTATCAGAATATTTGGAGCCAACTGTTCTTGGTACTATTGTAACACCTCATGAATATATTGGGAAAATAATTACATTGTGTCAGGTTGGTGTATAATTTTAATTTTATCTTTTGCATTTTTAAGCTCCTCACCTCAAAGTGAAGACACAAGATAGTATGATAATAGATATTGCTACTTAAATAGTATCTTTGAAGTAATTATTGAATACTTTTGAAAGATAACATAATTTTAAACATTTTATTTGTAAAATTCTGAACTACAGAATCCATCAAACTACAGAACTGAAAAGTTAATGATGAAATTTGGTGACAACAAAGTGCTTGGTCTGTACTAGACTAATTCATAGCTAGTTCTGTTCTCCTGAAACAATGGAATCTGCAGCAGGGAAATAAGATGTATTGGTTTTTTTAGAAGTATATGCATGGAAATACAACTTCTGCCAACACTTCTGACTATGTGTCCATGTACTTTTCTCAGTACTTCACTGAAAATAAATTTAGGATAGCAAAGACCAAATTTGCCTAACTGTATTTGGAATACTTCTAATTCAAAATGTTTTAACTGCCATGCATACTGTATTTATATTATTTCTTCACAATATTTTTCTTAGCTTCTAACATTCCAGAATGCATAATACAAAGCAGTACAGTGAAGAATAAAATCTATTGAAAAGAATTTCTAAATTAACTTTAAGAACACCTTTCTGGGAGGAAAGAAGATGAGCCTTCAAGTCCTACAGTGGCAGCAATAAGCAGAAGCTGTTAAGGATTTCAGAAATTCAGCATTTAGAGAGGAAAGGCTTGAATTGAATTTCTAGTTAAGTTATAACCACTTCATTTGTTACAATGCTGCAGTTTGTCCTGTGACTTCAGCAAACTACCAATGAGAAAGTTACTTTGGGGTTTAAGTACAGGAATTCTCTTGTGTAGCTTGATTGCTGTTGATTTTAATTTGCTTTGTATTTTTTGTAGAAAATTTCAAGGGAAAGTGAAACAATTTTTATTTGTCTAGGATCGTAGAGCAGTCCAGAAAGATCTGTTGTACATTGATGAGAACAGGGTTATGCTAAAATACCTCTTTCCACTGAATGAAATTGTGGTGGATTTTTATGATGCTCTTAAGTCTCTGTCTTCTGGCTATGCAAGGTAACTATCTCCCCTGTTCCCCTTTTCCTCCTCCCACCCTGGACCCTGAAGGGGGGTGGTATGGTAAAAATAAGGCCTGAGGAACAGCTGTGGAAGGGCAGAAGTAAAGAATATTCCTTTATGGTGATGCTGCAAATCTAGTATCTCTTCCCCTTGAATGGATTAGATTCACTGTGAAAATGGATGGAAATAAGTCTGAAAAACATGAAAAGTGTGGCACTAACTAATAATCATTGTTTCTGGCAATGAGTATATTTTTCAAGGGCACCCCCAGGTGTGGCACTGGTTCATCTATATGAGTGAGACCTAAATGGTCTGTCCTTGTCTGAAGTGACACTGTACAATTTTTTTCAATGGAATCACTGAAACTGTACTGCTTACTGTATGCACTGTCTCTTGGTGGAAAAAGGAAACTAACCACATTGATTATTTAAAGCTAGTAAAAACAATGTGGTATTTAAAACAAGCAGTACTTACTTTATGTATATGCTTTATTTGTGAAAAAAGAAAAGCATGTGTATTTTGAGACAAAATTTTCTGTTGTGGCTGGCTGCTATGAATTCAGAGTCTAGTAGAGTGCTCAGATGTTTGTAAAGAGCCATTGTGAGTTTAATGAAAGTGAAAATGCTGCATGGTGATGAGCTTGTGCCCCAGGAGGCTCAATGGCTCTCACAAACCTGGTATGTTGAGATGTCATTAATGGGATATTAATGACACAATAGGAACTGGTATACCTAATTACATTATTTATTTTATAAACATAAAAATGAATTTTATTGAAGGACTGAATTTTTTGAGTTTATGTTTTCTTTAATTATGTCTTAAAAATGTAAGTAAAACATGTTCTGCCCAGGTTTATATATATATGCAGCAAAAGCATAAACAAAAGTGGAGAGGCAAGATAGAAGAAACAGAGGGATGAAATTTTGAATTTCCTCTCTGGATCTAGCTCCCCCACTACATAAAAGCTAACCTGTTTATCAAGAACCTATCTCATTAGCAGAATTATGTTGGGTTTCCTTTGATTTGGGGATGATTGCCAATGATGTTGCACTATCTTATTTATTTATTAGTATTTATTTCGTAATTGACTCCTTAATACAGCTTGTGGATGTAGTGCTCTCAGTAATCATATTTCTGTTATATGGATCCATTCACACTTCTGTGGTTATTAAACCAACTCAGAAAAAACACTTTGAAATAATCTCAAAGGATTTCCCCCCCTTTTCTGGTATTTCAGATTTGACCACATTACAGTGATATTGATGATCCTCCACAATTATACTTACACACAAGATCCATCTGTCTGTCTGTCTATCTATCTGTCTGTCCTTCTATTGCATACACCACCTCTACATCTCTTCCATTTTAAGAATTTTTGCTAACTACCACACAGACAGCAAGGCCCACACCTACCAAAGAAGAAATCTGATTTGGAAACTAAATGAAAAACTTAAATGTCAGAGACGGTGATAATAGGGGTCACATAAAAAGTTTGTCAAATGAGAGGATGAAAAGAAGATGGTCCTGGATTGGTGTTTGATTCCTGTGACATTCAGGACATGGAGTGTTCAATAGCTGTGAGACTGCATTAAGCATGTAGATTTCTAATTGCTGATTAGATTGGAAGGACATCCTTGAAGTCAAGATGACAACTTTCTGCATTGGAGGGCACATTATCTGTGGTGCATTTCTAGTGTGAACATGTACTGAGAGACTACTAAAAACTGTACTCCCATTATATTAAAAAGTTCAAGTGTTTTATTAAGAAATATGTCTATAAAATCTATGGAACAAAGAATGCAAAATATAATTTATACAATATCATGACTAATTTTTGAACTGCTTTTATTCTTTTAGTTTTGATTATGAAGATGCAGGTTACCAATCAGCAGACCTAATCAAAATGGATATTCTTCTAAATGGAAATCCAGTTGAAGAACTGGCAACTATCATACACAGGTAGGTTTACTGGATTCCTTATTCAAAAGGAATAACAATGAAAACATTGTCTATTAATAGGACTGGATGATATTAAGGTCTTTTCTGACCAAAATGATTATATGATTCTAAATGACTCTAGGTATATATGTACTCTTAATATGAAAAATGTGTTTGAAGATTTGCAGTGAAGATTTTTCCATATGATCACCTTCATTACCACTGAAAAAGAGAAGCATTTTGTAGTCTGAAGATTAGGAAATAATAATAGCAATTTTTTTACTTCTCTTTCTCAGCTTAAGTACTGGATATCATATTTTTGTGGAAAATGTAGGGCAGAGAGAAAGAAATGCAAAATGCCAAGCTTGAAAAAAATTTAAGTGCAGACCAATCTAGGAGATGGCAGATGAATAATTTATGATGCTTAGTACTGACAAAAAATTATTTTGCTCTCCCACTAATTCCTGTTCTATAGAAGTTTATTGTTACCTTGTTTCCAGACAGAGTACCAGGAGAATGTAAATATTTACTGGATGCAATTACCTCAGAATTTTTTTGCTAAAATGATTCTATTTCTATGGGCATTTCAGGTATTAGAGGTGAGAATAATGCCCTTCCAGCCTGTCCCCTAGCTTCTCACAAAGTTTTTACAAGGCTCCCTTCTGTAACTTCAGCATCCCTTTCCAATAATGCCTACTTTTGTGGGTTGTTTAGTTTTCCTTCTTAAAATACTTGTAGTTGCTAAATATTTGTATATTTTCATATTTTTTTACATAACTGCAATCTTGAAATCCTTAAAATTCTGTAACTCCAGAAAGTTGACATAGGAAAATAAACCCCTTGCCTTGTTCAGCATCATGGGGTTGAAGAGGAGTAACGGTCTTGCATTCAGTTGCCAGTTATGAAATAATGCATTTCTCATAAGCATGCAGTGTTTAGCAATATACCTGAAAAGATGCAAAATAGAGTGGGCCACCTTGCAAAAGTTAGTTATTGCTTTAACATGTATTTTTTGATCAATTTAGCCCGTACCCTGAACTGTTTTACTCACTAAAACTACCTGTTTTTATTCACTAAAACTGTTTTACTCACTTTACTTTCTTTTGGCTTTAGATTTCAGTTGTTTTTTTTTTTAAACTCATAGTTGCAATCATTTTGCTCTTGCTGCAGGTCTTCCCACTGTAAAAACTGCATCTGTAAGAATTATGCTGAATAACATTTATAGAGAAAGCATTACAGAGATTACTGCAAGCTTGGTATTAAGATAGTCATCAATTGTTCTTACTGTAGAAGTAAATATATGGACCTCTTAAAACTGTAACGCTCAATGAGCATGACTTAAGTACTTCATGTTTAAATGTTTGCTCTATACAGGTAGCAAGACTCACATTGCCACTACCTGAAAACATGTATGTTGGTACAAAATGTCTGCTAAATACGGATATTTTTATACAGACAGACCCATTTCTTTCTAACAGTTTATGAAAGTATCTGTTAGTAGCTTCTTTAGACCTTTTGTTGTTTTCTTTTTCCAAATCCTGAAGCATATGTAGATGTTGAATATAGTTAGATAATTTTTATTAGCAGATGACAAGAGTATGTTAAATTATTTTTTTCTTGTGATATAAAACCAGACTTTGAAAGCATTCTGTAATATCTATATTTTGACCAATTGGACCTACAATCAATGAAAATTCTCGTTGATCTAGTTTAAAATTTCACTTGAAGCTATGGCAGTGTTCAAAATGTCTTAATTTGTGATGGATAATCAGGGTGTTTTTTATAAATACTTTATATGATGTTATATACTGAAGTTAATACAGTCTTATCACCTGTTAGTATGAAACAGGTGACATACAGAGACCACTTATTAGATGTAAAATTTGATCTGATCAGCTTATCTTCTGAGCTAAGAAGAGAAAACCTTCAACTAAAATCAAACAGTTTGATTTATGGGTGTATTTTTAGTGTTGCTGACGTTTTTTTTCAGAGATAAAGCCTATGCTGCTGGTAAACTCCTATGTGAACGTTTAAAAGACACTATTCCTAGACAGTTGTTTGAAATAGCCATCCAGGCTGCCATTGGCAAGAAAATCATTGCAAGAGAAACGTAAGTGAAGCCCTTCTGTTCCCCTTCTTTTTTTTCTGTCCATATTTTAAGATATGTGAAAGGTACAGACTTGGTACAAAACTAGGTACAGACTTGTGAAGTCTTACCTAGTTTTATACATTACAGGACTTTGATTTCACTATAAAGTTGTATTTTTCTTGATATATGCTACTTGAAAAAAAAACCACATTTGAGCAGTGACTATTGACTAAACATTTTGAATTAAATTTATACAAAGAAATTGTATTTCTATTTTAGATTGCTTGGGGTCAGAGTTGCACTTAGTGGATAAAGTGTAACTTCCAACGCATGTGTCCACTTCCTCTTTGGCAGTAGAAAAAGTTTCTTACTACTGAAAAAAATTAGCCAGTTGTGGAATACTTTGCTGTGAAAATCAGCAAAAAAATAGCTGATTTGTGCTGTTCCAAAGGAAATATGTTGCAGCTGAACACAAAAACATTTTCCTAGCACATGCTTCTTTAAAGCAAACCATTTCCTTATGTTGTGTTTCTCATCACATTTTTCTGTTGCTGTTTAAATAGGACTTAAATGGTGGTAAAATAATTAAAGGTCAGAATTCAGGCAGAGGTGGAGTAAGAATTTGTTGATACGTGTATATACACAGGGATGTAACGCTTCCTGTGAGTCATAGCAGAAATTCCAGATAAAACGCCAAGACTGTGATTTCTTTATGTACATATTACATGCCCTAAGTGATGTTTCTAGAATTGAAAACTGTGCATTATATCTTCTGTTTAAAGCTTCATATTTTGCATACAAAACCTGAAAATGTTATGATTCCAAAGCATCTTACAAAACTAGGAGAAAAACAAGTAACATTTTAACAACTCAAGTACTTAGCTTCACATGCAGATATTCTAATATGTTAAGGTGTATGTGTTATTTTATTTTGCAGGCTGAAGCCTTACAGAAAAAATGTTGTGGCAAAATGTGTAGGTATTTTTTTTCTCTTTTCTTCAGTTTCTGACATTTGTAAACCTTAGAGTCCTGCTAAGATTATATGCCCATCTCTTCCTAGAAACCCAGCAAAGACATATTCTTCTTCTGCTTGTGCCCCTAAGTTGTCTGTGGAATTCTAAGAGATACTTTTAAGCTTTTATTTTAAAATCCAACTCTTGTAACCCCTTGCTGCAGCTTGAGGAGTGGATTAGATAAAGTAATGGCATTTTCAGTCACACACTTTGAGTGTGTCTGTTTCATCTCCTCATCATTTTCTAATAGCTGTAGGCACACAGGAAATGTGTGTGTGTGTGTGTGTGTGTGTGTGTGTTTGTGTACACAGACATATAGGTAACTTAATGTTTCCTAAATTTCTTCTCAGGTGGTAGAAGGAAATATAAATGTGCTTCTTTTGAGACTTGATTGTGATTAAACTTCTACTTAGATTTGCAGTAATACATTGTAATAAAGCTTTAAATGTGCAATAGTTGATTATGGACAAGATTCAACAAAGCTGTTGGAAAACTGTGAGGCCTCTTACTTAGCTTGGATTTAGCTCTCTGAAGTGAACATATTGGAAAATATTAAACAAGTGTCCCTTTCTCACAACTGCAATAGAATTCTGCTAAGCCCAGCTGTGGGATGGTGACTGTTCAATACTGTACAAGGGTTTAGGTCACTTTTCTAGATGTAAGCACCTAATGCTAGTCAAGATGCCATAGTATATCTGAGCTGCTGCTATTCCAAGGGGATTTGCATCTAATGTGCTGTCTAGTGTCAGCCAGGCTTACAGGAATGTATATATTTAGGTGACAGAGTTCAACACTCAGTTGTGCAAATTAATGTGCTTATTTTCATCCTTGTTCTTTTTAATTAGTGGCCTTTAGGCCAAACTATTTGGAGTATAAATAATCTTTTTGTCAAAATATAACCAGCCTTTCTGACTATTTTTAAATCCTTTAGTTTTGTGTGGCTGGAATGTACTGTAGCTGCAGTTGTAGTTTAGGCCTGAGTAAATTTTATTTTTTTTTCACAGTACGGTGGCGACATTACAAGAAGAATGAAGCTTTTAAGGAGGCAAGCAGAAGGCAAGAGGTTAATGAGAAAAATTGGCAATGTTGAGGTTCCAAGAGATGCCTTTATACGTGTTCTAAAGAGAGAAACTGACAAATAGACATCAGTGAAATCCAGATCATGTCAGCTTTTTTGCAGACAGTAACAAAGTGAGCTAATACAGGATTTATCACTGTGAGATGGAACATATTTGACTTTAAATGGTATGAATTTGGTATGTGTGGGAAGATGAATTGACTTAAAAAATGTACATATATTTGTAGATTATTATGAAATTAAATTTACTTGACTGAATCTAAAAGTTCACATTATATTGTTTCTTCATTTTTTTCCACTGTTTTCATACTTTTAATACTTAAAATAACAATACTTTTGGGGTTTTTTTTCATTGCAAGTCTCTATATATAGAGAGGAACCATATGGCAGAAAGGTTATAAAAATAATTTAAAGGTATGTACAGACAAACAATACTGTGTTGGTTTGGTTTTTTTCTTTTAAAGTTTGAACTGCTGACACAAAAGTATCAAGCTGTTTCCTGTTTCACCTTCTCTAAAGTTGCTGTTTTCAGGAAATCATGATGCTGGGAAACCACATCAGATGAAAAAATCAAAACTCTTTAAATTTACCATGCTGTTTATTTTAAACCAGTTGAAGTGTGTAAATTTACCATTAGTTCAGCCTAGCTGTGCTTATCTTCAGGAAAATAGTAAGTTTTCTTATATTAAAAGACAGAATCTGTAACTGTTCCACTAGTGAGACCAATTCAGGCCTTAAAAAAATTATTTAACATGAAGGTTTGGTTATAGGGTATCTTGGTGTAGTTGGTGAAGTTTTATTTCTGTTGTTTACATGCTAAAGTTTGTCAGTGCATCCCCAGTTAAATGCTGCAGTGTAGTGTGTGTACCATGAAGTGTTACTTTTGGAAGTGTACACAAGGCAATTATAAATAAGTTAATGACCCTACTATATACTGTATTTACAACAGTTTACCCACCTCCAAAAGCTTTTAAACTGCATTCATTTTTTTGATCTTCAGGGACTAGTTTTGCTCTTCACAAATCTTATTTTCTTGTTATTAAATATTTAGTAGAGAACAAATTGCTAGTCATACCTACTAAAGTACTCAGTCACCAGCAAAGTCTGCCCTTAAATTTAGGCTTGTACCTACACTTTAATTATAAAGTAGTTTTATTTCAGCCTGTGTACAAGGAGGAATTGGGAAAATCTTTGGAGGCATGGAAGGGAACAGGACTTGTTCCCTTTCAACCTGTATTAGTTTCAGGGTGTGGAAAAAGGGGAGAGGGAATTCTGATAAGTTAGTGGTTTGTTGGGGCTTTTTTCTGTTTGGTTGTGGTTGTTCAGGTTTTGGGTTTTTTTTATTTGAAGCTGTTTCAAGTGCACTGAAAAACCAAAGATCTGGATGTGAACAAGGTATCTGTACCTTTACTAAAGGTACCTAAACTGCTGCTACCGACCCTGAAGAAAGGAAGGATGCTGTGGATAAAAGCTCTCTAACACATTTACTATTCCTCCCCTGTGAAAGCTAGCATATAAGGAACTACAGCTGCAGGGATACATGCCAGGAGCCAAGGAGCTAAAACGAGGTCCTCCCCACTCCTTGAACCAGACCTACGAGCATTGGTTCTGTACTGAGGAATAAGGCAGAAACTGAAGGTGAGCTAGAGATGATCCAAATAGGATATATAAATTATATCCTTGCTGAGTGACAGTGATTACCTTACCTAATCAAATGAGTTACACAGATAGATAGAGCTGCCTTGAGAATCGGTTTTAGCTTTACTATAGTCACCTGAGGCAGAAAAAAAATACAAATTGTAGTCTTAATTCTGAGAGGACTTGTACATATATCAGTTTTCAGAACAAGAACTTTAAATTAACTGGTCAGTACCTGTGAAGTACATGAAGTTTTTGTCACAAATGTACCTGATTCTGTCTAGTTACTTTTTTCATTTCCCCTTTCCTTTGGAAATACCTAAAAATGAGAAAAAGAATAAAATGATAACTTTGATGTGCTAGGCTAACTTAGAATTTACTTTTAAGACCTCCTGAACTTGAAAATGCTTGCTTTGCCATTACTGCAGAGTAACAGGTTAAATCTTATGCAACTTAAAGGGTTGACTTGTCCACTAAAGTAGTGGACAAGTTTGAAAGGTATTCTCTTGAAAAAATAATATTTCATAAAATGATTGGAAGTATCTTAAAGAATGGAATAATGGAAACAGTGTGATAGTACTTAAAAAAATTACATAATATACCACTCAAAATTAAAAAAAAAAATAGCGTAACGAGAAACAAGCTGGAGAACAACCAAAACCTTTGCATTAAAAGATGTAATACTAGTCCTAGACCCAAAGACAGACAGGTTCTGCTGTACCAGTATTTAAACTGGGCTGTGTTTTACAGAAGGTGGAGTAGTTAAAAAGGGAGAAAATATATTAATTCTGTGATCTGGCACATCTTGAGGACACAGAGGGCTTTAGTGAGTACGGGTGCCAAGCAAGGCACATGACTGAAAGGTGTGCTGGAATAAAGAACAAGAATGTTGTTTCAATAGAATTCTCCATTTTGGCACATTAAGGATAATGATCATCAAGATGAAACCTGATTCAATTCCATTAATACTAACCTAAATTAATGACTACTTTTAATTTCATGCTTTTTAATAGAATTGTTTATAAACTTGCTTAGCTGTAAAGGCTAATGGCAAACCTAACACTGCATTTTGAGTCATATATTACCTGTAACAGCATTCTACTGAAAGGTAGTCTTTTCAACTTCTTTCCCCACAATGTTGCATTATGCTTCAAAAATACGTGTGCATAAACTGAGCTTTAAAGCTGAAAACCTGTTTTAAATATGTGGATGTTCAATGTACTGTTGAGAACTGAAACACTAGGCCTGCCTTCCTATACTGCTATAGACAGATTCTTCCATGCTTTTGTAATTTCACAGAATCAGAGAACAGTCCAGATTTGAAAGGACCCTGTAAGACCATTTATGAGAAAGGTGAGCGTAGATGAGTCTAGAAAAGTCACCTAGATGAAAGGCAAGCCTGCCACATACCTGGGGAGGTTATGTGATTTTGTAATAAGAACTACATGGCTGTCATTTGGGTGAAAAGTTGAAGTTACACTTAGTTGTACTTTCTTGCAGTGAGAATTTTCAACAAGGACTTTCCCAAAAAAAGTCTTCATCAGTAAACTCTTACCTTTCTCCTTTGGTGCCTAATCACTCCCTGAAATTCTGAACTATTTACTCATTACAATTTATTTTAGAAATAAAACAATTTTGAAACTAAGAGATTTATATTTAAGTTTTACTTATATTCAAAGTAGGAAATAACATTCCTTGTAACAGCTCAATGTTTATAATGATACAATGAAAAAGTGATTAACAGTTAGCTTTAAATGATCATTTGCAGACATTATAGTCCTGTAAATTAAGCTCTTTTCAGGCATTTAATTGTAACATCCGTTATATAATTGACCAGGTACCTCCAGGAAGGAACATTGAGATTTCTTCCTTATGTATAAAGCTTGATTACCAAAAATATAAAATCCTAAAGTAATTTGAAGTACATGAGAGGAAAAAGTGCTATTGTAGAAGTTTATTATTTTTATCCATGGAGCAAGTTGTAACTTCAAAGATTATGATGCATTTTTAGGCACTGTTTTTGTGTCTTCATTTGCCTGAAATATACAGCAGGACTTGAGATGCCCAAAAACTGTTTAAGACAAATTTAAGGCAACCAAATGCAAAAGCTCAGTGTACATTAGATATATGTAAACAGAACATTTCATAGTAGAAATTGTACAACTATTACAAGTCCATAGTAATAGCAAAGGCCAAAACCATTCTGCCTAGAGACACAAATGCAAAATGTAGTTACACTAACCAAGCCAAAAATTAAGAATCTGGGAAATGAAGTGTCATCATCTCTAACATGAGGCAGATGCAATACATTGCTGTGCTAGAGTAAGTGCTCTGCTTTTCCCCTCTCTACATAACGTGCAGTCTCTCCCAAGTTTGTTCTGTTCCATTTAGTGATGTACCAACAGCGGAGCTCCAAATGTTAAAGCAAAATGCACAACACAGCAAACAGATGGAATGTGAATGTACAGATATTGGACCTGTTTAAAAATACAGTACCTAGGATTTCCCATTTTAAACAGTTTTCAGCATATTGCATAGCAGTGAACTCATCTGCTACCTAAAACTGTTGCTGCTGACCCACATGGAGTTCCTCTTCAGTCTTCTTTCAGTTTTCTTTCATACTGTACAGTGGGTCCACAAGCTTATTGTGCACATGCATTAAACCTTGGGGGGAAAGCAACAATGCCAGCTTTACATTAGTTATACTTTGTTAACATGTCCTTCTATCCACATTTTTTATTTGGAATTTGCTTCAAAGCATACATTTTAAATAATTCATTGAAGAGAACAAAAATGGCTATTTAAAGTAGTTCAGAGTCAGAGACAGCAGATATATTCCTGTATCACTTGCATACTAATGACATATTCAGTATCAGCTGAGCAGGGACCAGACAGTTCTCTAATAACAGACCCAAAAAACCACATCTGGAATACTTCCAAATGAACTGAATATATCTTCCATGTATTAAAAACTGTGTAACAGCAATATAATTCCCTCACACCACAATGTGCCATAAAAATTAGATGCGCACACAGTGAGACTTTGACAGCTTGAGTTCTTTTGAAATGTTCTAGCATTGTGGTAATACTGTCTTTGTAATAATCATATACTTGTGGTCCTAGACAGGCAAAATCAAATTAAATTATCCAGACTCTTAGTGCAGACTCAATTTCAGCAGTTCAACTGTTTTCTGTTGTAGCTGAGCTTTTTCTTGTCATATACAAGTCCTTCATAGCTATGATTAGGGGGTTAATTTTTTTCCTCTTCAACTACTTTATTTCTGATAAATGCTGAAGTGCAATTAATAAAAAAAGATGTTTCCTTCTTAACTTTGCTGTAACTTAGTAAAAATGTTACCTACATCTAGGTATGTGTGACATTGGATCACTGGCAGGTTTTTCCACATTTCATCTTGAGTACTAATAACAGTAATGATCACTGTTCACAGTCCACAAAGTAAGTCCATTTTAGTATTGAACTAAAGACTTAACTTCTAAAATCAAAACATGCAACACTAAAAGGAATGTTCTTAAAAACCATGAAAGAAATCTCACATTACTGCATATTTATTATCTATGGTAAAGAATATTCAAATACCTTTGCTACATGATGCGGCTGGTGGCAGCCTTAGTGTCACTGCAGCAACATGAAATTTGAGTTAACTCAACAATCTAAGGTCATTATTGTAGGTGACCATAAAAAAAGGCATCTTATGCAGCATCTATTACTAATCAGTATGTGATTATTTAATTAAATTACAGATATTAGATCAAGTGTAATATTTTTTCAGTTTAACAGTGACAAAAACTTAAGTTTACATTTGACATAAGTCAAATGACATAAAAGAGTAACAGCTGCACACACAGTGTAAACTAGAAACATGTTTTGAGCCTTAAAACATTTAACTTTCTACTAATATTTTCCTCTTCTATAAGGGGAAATGAAATAATTACCCACTATCCTAGATGCATGAAAAATGGTTACAAAGTATAGCTTCTGTCATACTTAGTGAAGAATATTTAAATCCCGTTAGTGAAAGTGTTACAGGAAAAACAGTGAGAAACAAAAGAATTTTTTAAAGGAATGCACCAGAATTGGTAGATGCCAAAACAATTGTTTCAAAGGAAAGTCCCACTGGATACTCAGGTATGCTTTGCATAAACAGATTTCTGCACACAGTTTTAAGAGGAGCATGTGTAAGTATGGTAAAAACTATCCTGAACTAACTTATCTGCAGATAAATCAGTAAATTCAAAATTCATTTTATGTTTCATTCTTCAAGAAAGTTGCAAGTAGGACCATGAGCACACTTGATAATTTTAGCCTATTATAGGTTTGCAGAAAGTTAGAATAAATGGAATAGGTTAATCTATTTACCAGCCAGTGTGGTACTTGATTATAAAACAAAACAAAAGCAGTTTCATATTGAAAGTTTTAAGTGGTGAAAAATCTCCATAAATCATTACTATAAATAGCAGTATTTAGAACTACCTAGCTTCCCTAAGAAGTCTAACCTGAAGATCAAGTTTCAGAAATAATTGCAAATTTGACCCACGCTGACTTCTCCATTTTACAAGAAGAAAAAAATCTCACTGATTTGAGACAAGGTAAAATTAATTAAGTTTAAAGTAAACCATCTTTTTAAAAGTTCTATTGCTGTGTATTACAGGGTAATTAAATACAGTGACACAATAGCACACATTCATAAATTGTAGCCCTTGATGTTTTTTAAAGCAATGTTCAGTGTAATTTATATTTACTGATTCTACATTAGGTTTGTATTTCCCAAGCAAAGCCTCTGCTTATATAAAATACAGGATACTGTTTAAAACTTATCCAAGCAGATAGAGAAGTTTATCTTTGAAAACAACAGTAAGTGCTGTCTAGCAGTGTGATACAAGAAAAGACTAACCCTCCCTCCTACCCCACAAATACATAGCAGAGAACAGCATACTGAAAAATTCAAAATTAACAAGCTGGCCACAAGAGGTATCAGGATAAATATCATAGAAATATCCAAATTGCAATCCAATACATATATGAGCACTGGTAATATAATGCTCTAAAAAAGAATTTTAAAAATTACAATCTTGATCTCTGATACCTTGGCCACTACAGGTACCCAATGCTAGTGAGAACAACAACTGAGTCACACAACTGCATGTGCTGTGCTAGTGCAGTCAGGACAAAACTACTTTTCTCAGCTTCTACTGTCCTAGTCAAACAGAATTCAGTCTAGAAAGTCTCAATTACTATCAAATATCCTGACTTACTTTAAGTTTGCCCCAGTATACCTACTACAAATACAAAAAACACACACAGTAAAAGGGTGCAGTGTTTCAAAGGTAGTATAGATTGTTATGCTAATTGCACATGAAAAATGTTCTCAGGTGGCTTCAAAGTCTGTATCGCAGTTTACCAGACATCACATTACAGCACGTAGCAAAAGCAGCATGGAAATGTATCAGGATTAATAAATGTATTAAGATTTTTTTAAGCTAAACTTTCTAGTAAACTTAAGACCGGTATTCTGGAACACCAGATTACTGCTGTTTAAAGTTAAAGATTACTAAACTATTGTTTAAACTGGAAGCAAAGGAAATACTCTTCCCAAGTATATTGTCTGGAATGTAGGTAGCACAAGTTATGCCTCCTGGCAAATTTCCAAACACAAGAAATAAGTTAATATTTATACTTTGACTATATAGCATTATACATTAGTGACTGCAAAGTGTTGGAAGGCTCAGATTTAAATCAGTATAATTTCAAAGATGTCGGTTTTGCATAAACACGTGACCTCTGATTCAGTGCTCACCTTTAAAGTACTTCACAGTTTTAACTCTTAGTTCTAAAGTAGCATCTTCATCACACACAAAGATAGTGCGAGGGTGTTGCTGGAAAGCAGAAACTGTCCACATATGATTGACTCCTTCTTCAATTGCTTTGTACAATGCAAAAGCCTTGTGTGCACCTGTTATAAGAATCATCACCTGCAAAACAAAGGTCTCTTTACTTTCAATCCCAGTATCAATACCAAGTAACTTGAAAACACACATGCAACTAGAACTAAATGAGTTCTTACTTCTCTAGCATCCATCACTGTACCCACACCAACTGTTAGCGCCATAGTTGGTACTTTAGATAAGTCTCCATCAAAGTATTTAGCATTTGCCAAAATGGTGTCCATTGCTAAAGTCTTTAATCTTGTTCTTGAAGACAAACTTGATCCGGGTTCATTGAATGCAATGTGGCCATCTGGACCAATGCCTTTTCAAAGTTAAAAAAAATAAATCATTCCAGACCTGAGAGTCAACACATATCCTCAAACATTGTAAATTAATAAAAAAGGGCTCATCCTTTCCTTTTGCTTCCCCATTTTCAAGAAAAACTTACTTAAGTAAGTAGAAACTTGGACACCAGCCATTCTCTTTTGAAATTTATACTTATTCTTTGTTAGTCACAGAACTTTCTTACACAATAATTGAAAAATTTGTGTTTTAGTCAAGTTATGAAAATAGCAATTAAAGAATTGGTGTATGTGCTCGAATTGTAACTAACCATAGAGCATTTCCTCATACCTCCAACAAACAGATCAATCCCCCCTGCTTCTTCAATTTTCTTTTCAAATGCATCACATTCCGCCTGTAAGTCTGGTGCATTCCCATCAAGGATATGAGCGTTATTTGGATCTATGTCAATATGCTTAAAGAAGTTATTCCACATATAGGAGTGATAGCTCTCTGGATGATTTCTGGGAAGCCCTGAAATGATTTACAGGGAAATTACCATATGACAAGATTTAACCAAACAGCTTTAATTTTAGTCTGTATCTAACAGATGTAGGGCTTGCAAAGCAAACCTGAGTCAAATAAATCTTTCAAATAAAGATTTGAAACTACATTGAGAAGAAAGGTTGGCACGTACAAGGTAACTGGTTTACATTCCCTCCACATACATCCTATCCCAGAGTGTAAAGTCTTCAACAGAAATGCAGTCCCAATATTACATGACAACATAATTTCTACAGAAGTACTAAGAAAGACTGGATTTAGCCAGGTATTTATTTTTGCATTTTTGTAGATAAAAGAACAGAAAAATGCTGGGACACCAGTCTAATATAGGAATACAAACATACTAGACTAACCTGGTACTTCAACAAAATATTTAATAGTTTTTATAAGGAAAAAAATCCCAGTACAGTATGTTCTCAAATAATAGCACATCTTACCTACATACTCATCCATGTTGAAAGTCTTTACGTATTTGAAAGAGAGATCTCCATTTTTGTGATATTCTATCAGCTTTCTGTAGCATCCCAAAGGTGTGCTTCCTGTTAAATAAAAGTTTTTCTACTGTTCTGTGTATCTGCACATTTTCAGTGTATTTAAATGTCTTCACAGTCAAATTTTGCCACAATGCTTTTCAACACACAAGCAATCTGCTGTTTCTCATTTAGTATTTATCAGTTTCTCAAACTATCACAACTTTTCACAGAAATCAAATTAATAATAAAAAAAGTTAGAATATTACCAAAAATATTCTATTACCATAGAATATTATGTTCTTTTAAATACTGCATCCGCTACCAGTGATACAAACATTGTTCCAGGCTTAGTTATTTACAAAGACATTGAATAAAACTTGCCTGTTGGTAGACCAAGGGTGAAATATCTTCCTTGACTTGGCTTGAACTGGATAATACGATTGCAGATGTATTTGGCTGCCCATTCACTAGCCTGATCATAATCTTCAAGAATTACTAGCCTCATTATGGCAGTGAAGAACTTGTATGATAAAACAAACTTAAACCTGGAGAAAATGTTGAAGTTTTAAAAATAAGCACCATGTTAGTTGCAAAACTCTTAGATTACAGAGGAGATAAAATCATCTTCCAAACCAATGACTTGCATTAGCACACCACACTCTTTCAGACCTAGTTCAAACTGGACAATCAAGAGGAAAGCTACAGAATCCAAATGACAGATTACAGTCAAAATATTTATTAAAATCCACAGACTAATTTAAAGCTATTAACAGGAAAAAGCTAAAACAAGATGAGAACAAGTCATTTTGAACTTCAGTATTTTCGTCATTGCCATCAGAAAAGAGGAAATACTTATATACCAAGATTAATTCCTGTTTCTTATGACCAGTGGAATGCCTACAATTTCAAAAACAAGACCCAGAGTAATCCCATGTTTCTATAATCAAAATACCTAATTGAGACTAAATTATTAAAGCTCCTTTCACTCCCATTCTAGCTCCTTAACAATGCTTCAGTAAATTTATTAATCTGCAAAAAAAAAAAAAGTTAAAGCACCTCTTGCATTTAAGTGAAACTCGTTTTTCCATGAATTTCTGCTTAACTGAGTCCGGTAATTACTCCAGGAAGACTGAGACTCTTTCCTCAGTTTGGGATGCGTTACTCTTCTTTTCCCAGGTCTGGATGGGCTCAGAATTAGCCAGAACACAACACAGTTGTGAGAAGCCCAGGGCCACCGGTGTGACAGACCACACTACTTTTAGCTGACCCCAAATGAGCGGCTGATTTCAAAACAAATACGAATTATAGTACTTAACTATGTTTGTCCTACTAAAGAAGAAAGAAAGTGATGACCATCACCCTGTGCTGCCTGTGCTGCTCCATCTCCCTGGACAGTTGAGCCCTGACAAGCCAAACTCACCTTTGCCGAGGAAACGCTATTCGCACACATCCGAGAGTTAACACACATTCCCGAGAAGGAAAAGCATGCCTTGAAAAGCAGGAACAGACTGCGCGGCTCTAGGCCAGTTTCATAAAATCCCAGCGATTTTACGCTGGGAACACGGGGATGCTCTCAAGAGCGGGGACCCAGGGACAGCATCAGAACCACAGCGAATTTTCGGCTAAGGACACCTTTTTTGGTTTTGTTTGGCGGTAGTGGGGAGGGAGGGGTGATAAACCGACACTGGCAGAGGAAGAGCCCTGCAGCTGGAGCCCCGCCGGCGCAGCAGCCCCGGGCCCCCGCGGCCTCCCCTTCCCCGGCCGGCCACGGTGCGCCCTGCCCAGCCCCGCTCACCCGGGACAGCCCGCGGCGGCCACGAGCCACACCAGGACCAGGACGAGATGAAGGAGGGGAGGAGGAGAAGGACGAGGAGGAGGAGGAGGAGGACGGGAACCGCCGCCCGCCCCGCAGCTCCCGCCCCGCCGCCTCCAGCGGAACCCGCCCCGCGACCCGGAAGCGGCCGGCGCGGCCGGGAAATGGGCTCCTTCCCCGTGGGCATTTCCGGGCCGCTGCGGGAGCCCGGGACGGAGCGCTCGGCCCAGCCCGGCCCAGCGGCCCGGGAAGTGCCGGGGGCTCCAGCCTGGAGCACGGCTGTGCTCGAGAGCTCCTCTCGCAGCCCCTCTGCTGCGGAGCACATTGAGATCTTAATGGAAAAGGTTCCCCTATAGCCTAAATGTTTGCGTGATGCAGCTGCAAAAGCCGTGCGTAGTTACTGACAGAAATTAATGAGGTGAAGCATCAGTGTCTTGGTGAATCACAGCTGGCCATAACCCGCGGTGCCCTTGAGGGCGGGAAAGGCAGTGGTATCCTGGGGTGCATTCCTGTGGGGGTGCATTCCTGGGGAACAGTGGCCAGCAGCCGGGAGGGTGATCCTGCCCTTCCACTCAGCCGCGGTGAGGCCGCATCTGGTGCTGTGTGCAGTGCTGGACTCCGCAGGGCAGGAAAGGCAAGGAGCTACTGCAGAGGGCCCAGTGGAGGCCACAAGGATGATGTCTCAACGTCTCATCTCTTACACAGAGAGACTGCAGGAGCTGGGCCTGTTCAGTCTGCAGAGGAGAAAACTGGGAGGAATCTCTGCATGTAAATATAAATAAATATCTCAAAGGCAGGTGTCAGAGGATGCTGACAGACCCTTTTTGGCAGTGCCCAGCAATAGGACGAGGAGTAACGGGCATCAACTAAAACAAGAAGTTCCACCTTGACATTAAGAACTTTACCTTGAGAGTGGCAGAGCCCTGGAACAGGCTGCCCAGGGAGGTCATGGAGTTTCCTGTCTCTGGAGATGAAAAACCCACCTGGACACATTCCTGTGTCACCTGCTCCAGGTGACCCTTGCCTCAGCAGGGCACTTGGACCAGATAATCTCCAGAGGTCCCTTTCAACCCTAACAATTCTGTGATTTGCTTTTTGCTTTAAAAGCAGTCAAGTAATTCCACAGCCTTAGCTAAGCTGTAATTAAACAGGTAATCTAACAGATAGATCTTGATATGTTGAAAGGGCTAATAGTCTGAAAGGGTGGTGCTTCAAACAGGAGTGAGGAAACTGGAGTGGGGGGGTGAGCAAGCAACATAATTCTGAATATATGTGTATGCACATACCTGTAGGCTTCACTGAGACCTTACCATAATAGAAGACCAGGGTAAATCTGTTTACTGGGTAGGAGCATAACTGTCTGAGGAAAAGACATGATTGAACAGTAAAACAGCTAATAAAGGGAAGTGTGTATTTAAAAAAAAAAAATCTGGGGTCATACATGAGCATAATGATACATTTTTTTGGCAAGACTTGAGTTTAGCTCAGGTTGTTAGAGCATGAGGCTAATAATGCCAAGGTTTTAATTTGCGTTTGATCCCCATATAGGTCATTAATTTAAGACACATCTTCGCAGGTCCCTTCCAACTCAGTATATTCTGTGATTCCACAAGCCTGTCTTGCAAGGTTCAGAAAGAGATATTGTATTTCTCTTTCAAGGTATTGAGAAATACTTTGCCAAGGGCATGAAAGGTGTGTTCGCAAGCTTGTGAGAGAAAATATGTCTTTCTGAAGTCTCTGGGGCTTAGCAGGCAATCTGTAAAAATACCTTTTGTTTCAAAACTGGCCTTTGATTTGAATATAACTTTCTAATACAAACAGTTTTAATTCATGCATGTTCTTCTGATAAAGTCTTTACCTCAGAAATTTTACCAGGTCCTAAAGAATAGTGTTTTGCACCATTTCTTGAGTGATGCTCTGAGCCTCTGCTGCTCTCATAGTTTCAGAGTATGCTTGCAGTGGAGGGGATTTTCAGATTCTATGTAAGAATATAAGGTTTGTCTCTAGATTTCAATTCTGGTTTTTTTCTTACCTCTGTGGATCATATTTCACACCTCAGAGGTAAACTACTTCTGCATACAGCAGACTAGTTAACACATTTCTTTGGTATTACTACACACCTAGGTACCTTCAAGCCTGAAGTCACACCCCTCCCCCAAAAGCTCTGTTGGTTTCCACAACTTGAAAATTCTCTTTTTTTTTCATCACTACAGAAGTACTCTTAAAATTCAGGTAATAGTCTCCCCCTTGTTGCATGTTCTCCAGGAGGTCTGAGAATATATGATGTACTGTTCCACACTCAGTGGAAGTTGTCCTTTTCCCCACTCCCCCTAAATTTAGAGCAGCAGCTTGTCTGTTGCCTTTTAGCAAACTTCACAATGCTATCAACTGCTTCTATGAGACAGACAAAATTCCCTGTCTTTTGTAAACATATTCAATTCTTACTCTCATTGTTTGTATGCTAATACCTAGGGGATAATTTTCCAAGTCATTCTTCAGAATTTCCTGTCTAATTAGTAGCAGATGAAAAATGCTCTATATGCAGTGAATGTTGTAGATAATGATTACTAATTAAGATGTTGCTAAAAAAAATCTTAGTTCCTTATTATGTTTCACTGAGTAGCAAAACTAGAGATTTCAAAGTCTCACGTTTATTATAAATATCTTTTGGTTTTGAAAACAGTCTTTCTGTGATTTTTAAAATTTTATTTTCTAAATGGCCCCTTCTTTTAAGTATTAATTAAATTTCCTCCTGGTGATCTGATTTGTACACATCTGCTATGATCAGATCTCTTTTTTAAAACCTGTGTTTAAGTAATTATGAATTTAAACTGGATGTACTTCAGTGGTACCCCAACTACATTGAGTTTTACCTGAGGAGGACCACCTCAATTTCAGGTGAACCCAGACTTTTAGCAAGATAGCTCTGTTCCTTCAGATTCCCTCTGATTTAGTTGGAAGAACAAAGGATCCTGCACAAAGCTGGGACCTGTGAAGGAATATTACACATATGGATGTTGACATGTAGGAAGGAAAAACAAAAAGGTTGCAATGAAAATACTTGCCCAAGGCATTAGAGATTGAGAAACATGTAATTGTTGAAAACACTTCAAAAAAAAAAAGACTCACTCTGAATGAAACACTTCTATTGAGTCTGGCTGAGGTGGGATAATTTTCCCTGTCATTTCTCTCAGTGCTGTGCTTTGTATTAGTAGCTAGAAGGATGTCAGTGACACCCCAGTGTTTTGGCTGCTGCTGAGTAGCCCTCCACAGCATCAAGGCTGTCTCTCCAGCATTCCTCCTGGCCAGGAGGCTGAGGTGGGCAAGATCTTGGGAGGGGACACAGCCAGGACATTTCACCCACTGACCACAGGATATTCCATAACATAAGATATCTGCTCAGATAGAACATTTAAGAGAAGGCTGGAGAAGGAAAGGTGTGGGGAGGAGAGAGCGAAGTATTTTTTTATTAACAAATGTGTTATTTGTCTGTCTTCTAAAGCAACTGGTACACACACTGAAGCCCTGCTTCCTGGGAAATAGCTGGACATCACCTGCTAATGGGAAGTGGAGAATAAATCTTGTGTTTTCATTTGCTTCCATGCACAGCCTTTTTTTTATCGAACAGCCTTTATCTTGATCCATGAGGATTTTGTCCATCTTATTTTCTCCCACCGTCTCCTGCTTAGAAGGGGAGTGATAGGGCAGCTTGGTCAGCACCTGGTGTCCAGCCAGGGTCAACCCACCAAAATTCTGCTGTGTAATGCCTGTGCAATCAAGCATAAGGACACAGAATAACAGCAGCTGAGACCTTTTAGGGGGTGGTAACTGTGTGGGGAGAAGCAGAAAAACTGCAGTGAAGATTTTTTTTCCTAATTTTCAGAAGTCTGAAAGAATGTAAAGACATTGGTTGTTACCCCTGGTGCTTCATTTAATGCCACAGGGTCAATAGTCTGCTGTTTTCCTGCCATTAAAACAGACTGAATTTCTGCTAACTTCATTTCTCTTCTGGACGTAAGCCTGAGGGGACCAAATCCACTTGGCAGCTTTGCTTAGTTCTCACAAAGCCTGAAGATAGTTTCACATGTGCATTACATCCCTGTACTTGTCACAGCTTTCTTCAAAACTTCACTGGTTAGATCTCACCACATTTCTATCAGCTAAGGCATACATGGCATGTGATGTCTTTTGGGCTATGCTATATGCAACCAGCCCAGGGAAACAATTTTCCAGTGAAATAGGAAACATGAGATTCTGTGATGCTAGGACTGTGTAAGCAGATTCACAAATGAAGCACCTAGCTAATACTTAGCACCATCATAATTTTCATAGGCAAGGCTTTGAGTCAGTATGTGAAGCTCTGTGCAGTAGCAGATCTGTACTCTATGCTTTTGTTTGGTTTTGTTCTTGCAATGTGTTGGTCCTTCCTACATGGATTCTGGTGGAGTCTGTACCAAAAGTCAGTCAGTACCAGCTGGTTCTGAATGTAGGAGTTGGTTACTACAGAGTAAACAGTAGAGGTGATTAGAAGAGTATTTATTGTACCATCACCCTGTTACCTTTTTGCTGGTGGATTCTTCAGTTCTTCTGAGGGTTGGGGTTCAGTGTGGGAGTTTGCTACTTGGTACTGCTTCATTTTGCCATGTAGAGAGACCTGATGCTGATTGTTTTCCTGTGTGCTGAAGTACCAGGCTATTTCTCCACAAGTCTCTCTGCCAGAACAAGCAGGCAGAGGTGCCTGCTGCATTCCCTCCAGATCCAGTCTTTCCCTTTTGCTGATGTGCCAGCTGTGTCACAAGTATGGGTGCACTGATTGATGGTTGGCTGTGCCCCTGCAGTGTGGAGCATTCTTGATGTATGCAGGGGTGGTGAGAGAAATTTCTGATAGTGCTCTCAGCTGCTGTAAAAGCCTGTTCCTTTCAGAGTACACGGTTTAGGCTGGGCACAGAAATACACAGGATGTGTTTAATGCTCCATGCTACTCCAGACATGCAGATGGGAAATAGGTTCCCTGATTTGCAGCCAGGCCGTTCTATGCCAATCACCTGAGTGCTTAGGCATGTTTCTGCATATATGTTATTTGTGAGTATCAAAAAACTT